TAGAGTGGTTAAACAATTAATGGGATGACTGCGTTTATATTCAAACTTATTTTGCTTCATATTCATCCCTGTTCAATAACTACTGCGTAAATAATCCATTCTGATTACATAGATGACAAACACGAGCATACTGAGGGAGTAGGTATCATTATCTAATCTACAGCATACAAAGCTCTCGTATAGTGGGAACCAACTTCATGCAGGAGCATGACAGCAAGATTCAACTCAAAATGAGGGAAAGCTGAAATTCTTCAATACTGATTGCGTACAAACAACATAGAACATTGTAAGAAGCAAGAATTCTACAGACAGCTTCGAACAGCAATGTGCAATACTCCAAATATCATAATGGCTAATGTGAACGATGAACTGGGGTCAGAAGTTACAGGAAGAGAATTTGTCCTGGATAGAGAGATTCTCCCTCGTCGAGATGAATGAGAACAGAGAACTCTTTACAGAATTTGCGCTTCCCGTAGTTTGGTGATTGGAGGCAGGGCGTATCAGCACAAGTCAGGTAGACTTCATTCCAGCCTCACTAAAGTGGAGACGTAGGCTGCTTAGCATGAAATCAAGATAAGGAGCAGATGTGGGCTCAGACCACCATCTTGTTCAAGGACGTTTCCTGGTCAAGTCGAAAACCTTCAGAACTGTCAAAGACAGACCACTGGAATTCAAGTTGAACAGTCAGAAACCGAAAGACCGAACTACAAAAGACATCAGTGCACCCAGAAGAGTGAAGTATCAGACACTCTGTAGCATCACCAAGGACGCCTCTGTGGGAGAACAATGGAACACTCTGTAAATGACATTGTAGGAAAGGCGTGGGAAAAAGAAGAGGAAAGACAAGAAATAGCTTTCGACGGATGCCTGGAAGCTAAAGGAGGAGAGAGGGATGGTAAAATGAATGATGAAGCAGTACAAACTGCAACAACTGGAGAAGAAGCTGGCTTCAGAAAATATCGTACTCCATAAAGAAGTGAAGAAGTGATATAAGAGAGAGACATGACAAATACGTATCATGAATGCGTGAGGGCAGGTGGAATGCAACTGGACTCTGAGAATCGTGAACTGCTGACTCAAAAATCACTTTTGTCACACAGATGACAACCACGAGCATACTGGGTGAGTGAATATCATAATATCACCTACAGCATCAAAAATGTCCCTTCACATTTCTGTACCACTTAATTCCAGTGTTCCTCTTTGGAAATTTCTCCTGTGATGCTGCCTAATCTCTCTGAAGTTTTTTAAGATGACTGTTCTGAAGGTGTTTTTCGTTGGTTCGTTTCAGTTCCTGAGTACTGCACTTGAACTAGGGTCTGTCCCCAACTTCTTTGAAGCCTTTCTACTTGACCTTGAATATGTTCAACCACAGAATTTAGTGCACTCAGTTCACGTCTGCTCGTCTTCTTGGTTTTGTTTCCACTGGGCTGCGTCTCAATTTTCGAGAGGCTGGGACAAATTGAATCTTATATTTCGTATATTGAAACTGAATTCATCTCGTAAATAGCCTTGAGTTTGCGCAACACTACCTAATCGACAATTGTTGGGTGCTCAGAGGTCTGCAAGGTGTTCCCATTCTGACTCGTTTACACGAATGCCTTTGGAATCCGTGATAAATTCTCTCGCAAAAAGAATAATGCGTCTAATCTACTTAGTTGATTTTTATTGAAGTCATCTGATTAAATCTTTTGGAAGCAGTTCGTTATACTGGTATGAATTTCTGAGTGCACTTGAATACGTGTCAGACATTTGTTAATAATGATTATTTGCTGTATACTATGGGGATTTGTCAAAATTGTTGTTATTAAATGGCTGCAGAAAGTCATCAGGAAGCCTTGACACAAGGTTTAATGTCTGGTGGGACTAGTCAACTGGTCATGTTTAAAATTTTGGTGCAACTGATGTCCCTTCCGAGACTGCAACAAGCGGCGCTCAGCGTTGTGGTCAAAAACGTTACAACTGAGCTATTGGCTTTGGCTAATGACATTGTGTAGAACTGTGTTGGATACTTTGATTGGACACTATTTGATGTCATGCGTGTCGTCCTGTGTCTGGCGCGGACCGAATTCTATCAGTCCAGTCGAACTAACGTACAGTCGCTTGTAGAAGAGGGTTAACTAATAGCGAGCGCCATTATCTAAGTCTTTTTGGTTTTCGGATCCCCAAAACGGACACTCTGAGAAATACAACGGCAACACCGAGACAACTGGCCTCAGTGGTTAGATTTTTGTGGCAAAATCAACAGATTTTTAAAGATGTCAGAGAGTCAAATCTAACTGCATCCACCAATATACTAGAATTCATACAGAGCTGGTTCTAAAAATAGCCACAACTACTCCATTTGGTTTAAACAAACTAATCCTTGTGTCTTTACAAACAATAAACTCTGCTCAAGCATTCCAACAATTAATCTATCAGTTTTTCCATGGTCGATATTGCTATGACATCCAAATACTTCAATCAAGTTCTCACTGAGATACTAACCTATACTCTATTTCACTGTAGATATCACTTGCCGTGCGATCAGATTCTCACCGCCAATCAACTCACTGACATCTTCTCTGATGCCTTATAATCATCACTTCGTTGTCTTGTGGAATGACCTGTTTGCTTCACCTGCCACTTGGGCTATTCAGTCACTCATTGACACTGAGTAGTTGTTAGTTGAAGAGCTATTTCATTTAGGCGAAACAGTGAAGTTGTATTTTCGCTGTCAAAGACACCTCTGGCATTTCTCTTAAGAGTACTTTAAAACAGCATATGGCAGTGTCTTTTCTATTCCAAACAGTACTTCGAGTACAATGTGGAAGTTTCACTGTGTTGATAGGTCAGCTATACCTGGAATTCTCATCGAGTCAACTTTTCATCAAGTACTAACTGGGCCTTACATTGCTTACCTTAAATGATTGGAAGAGAACCAGTGTTTTCAACTAAGGATGGTCGTTTTGAATGTTTGCTGCTTTCTAGATGACAAGGTTTCGAACACCGTTTACTGTTCATAATCGTATTAGTTACCATTAAACGACTTCGAGACTTAAGTTATATAGTTTTCTTTGTTCTCTTCTATTCGTCGTAGAGGTAGTAGAATTTTGCAGATGTATGCGACAGGTATTGAATCATTCCCACTACACGTGTCTGCATTTTGATTTGATAAATAGAGATTCCACTATCAGTCTCTTTCATCCTATTCTATGGTTGGGTGTAATTACATGTCATGCTGTCTCTATTTATCTGGAAAATTCTACTACGACTACGACAGGTAGAAGAGAATAAAGAAAACTATGAAGTTCAAGTTTCCGACTTATGTGATTAACACGGATATTAACATGAACCATAAACTGTGTTCGAAACCTTGTCATCCATCAAATGATACTGTCTCACTGTGTTATGTATCTAATAAGAAATTAATTTAGACGTAAACGGATTTAATTCTGCCTGCTTTAGCAGTTATTCCGACATCCAGGATTCGAAAACAAGTAAACTCTTTGCACTATCTTACTTTCAATGACAAGATTGATAATTTCAAGAGTTATCCAACCGAAACATAACTCCGACTCTTAAATGCAGGCTAGTCACAGCCGACTATTAATCGTCTCAGAGTGCAATAAGTAAAATGGTTATTATTACAGTCAGTTCTCAAAAATTGTTTGGCATTTTAGACACTTTACACTTAATTCTGGACTTAAACAATAAAAGAACTGTGTAACACAATGATGGAAAATTTCAAAGTGGAAATTTCGCCGCAACACTTAAGACACTGTTTGGGAACGCTCTCCGTATGCACGTGCGATTACAACAGACTCTGCTGTGGTCCTCAAGTGACGTCAATCAACACTACATGCCTAGCCACATGTCTCCTGAATGGCGTCCAAAATACAAGAACGAGTTTGCCTTTCGGTAAGGCCATCACAACGTCTTTGATATAAGAGCACCACTATATTGGCAGTTTCTTCAACACGATGTCTTATTCCCAATAAGTCAGAAGTATGTCCTACAACAGATAAATATGGAATCATGCGACAAATTTCTTGCTCTCATCTCCCTAATAACACTACGCATCTGATAAATTTCATTTACATGAGCCGCGAGCCCTGTGAATGTTCCGTGTGTCTGGAAGATTTCGTGGTAACTACAACCTGTACAAAAAGTTGATTTCAGCATTCAGTGTGGTAAGTCATGATGAGAAAATAAACTAAAATATCACAATTATAAAATTACTCAGTCACTAACACACACGATAATATGGGAAGAATTGGCCGTGCGAAAGCAAGGCAAACTACAACCAATTAATTACTGAAAGCATGGGTAAACCGAACTGCACGTATGTCACGGATTCATTAATTGTAGATAACAGGTTGTGTGGTTTCCATTTCACACTAGATAGAATGTACTAATGTTACGACTTAATCAGTTTTTTATCAAACTTGCAAATGCTGGTAACAACGGTTGAATCAAAACGGTTTGTCTTTTTAAGTAAAATGTTCTGCAGAACGACTTATTTAGAAGACTGAACGTCACAATAATGTCGAGAGAAGCTTCTAGGAACTTGTCTGATCATTGTGGCTGAACTATGAAGTATGATGTCGTATGTGTTAACAGATCGAAGAAAAGTGTAAAATAGCGTCCAAACATGGTCGGAATAATTCATCAAAATATAACTTCAAGAACCTAAAGCATCCGCTAGTGACACCGTAGTTTGTCCAGTTATAATTTAACTCATGCAGTTTTTGGCCTATTTACATTCTGGTCTAGTGAAATACGCATCAAGACTTGCCTTTACTAGAAGGCAGATACCTTCTTCAGTTGCTTCGTAGTTCGCTGAAATAAGTGGAAGTTGGATGGTCAATGTCTGGCACTTGTATATGCAGAACACGCATATCCTAAGTTGGACATTTTCACTTAATATGAGAACACTCACTGACTCGTTTTCAATCATAGTAAAGTTTGTAATTGCAAAAAAAACATTGTCATATTCATTATAATTATCTAAATTCCAGCAATGCACAACCTACAAAAAACAATCAGGCGATATGCTGATTTGGTTGGATGATACTTTTCTCATCTGATGTCGAATGAGTTCACAGTCCAATTCACAATTAGTATAAAACTTGCTGAGATTCGAGTGAGAAATACACTGCTGAGAAACAAAACGTAATCATGATCTCAAATTCTGCGTTGTTCGTGGTTGCATTTCTGCTCAATAATGCTGGCCAGCGCACTCTCGCTATAGTCCCAAAACCAACAGTTTACAACAAAACGTCACCAGCCTGCGACCTGGTTCACACACTCACCTATGAACACAACTATCCAACTTGCTTTATACTCACAAACTCAGTGACAAGATTTCGACTCCGTCTTGCATCACACCACCCGCCATTTCCTCAGGAAAGCAAAGACAAATGTATCATAAACAAACTGAGAATTGAAATCATGGATGGATGTGACGAAAATGCAGATAAACTGTGGCCGAGTGGTATAATGAAGGAATCATGTGAGTGACAACACAAGAAGTATTTCATTCACCACCTTGCAGATAACGTGAACATTGAAGATACAGAGATCTCGATAAGTTCCAAGAGGTTTGGGGTGCACTAAGTGCCCTCGAAACTGTACTTCAGATGGTGTACAAGGATGAGTTTGGGGGAGTGAGTTGGGTTTTTGTTGACAACTTGGCTTCATCAATATATTTCATCTAGAATATGATATTCAAAGGTTCTGTGAAAGACGAACCATTATTCTTTCATCGTGTAATGCTCTTGGATACCGGAAGAAATTTCATGCCAGTTGAAAGTCTACGGAAGATGATAGTAGGAGATGTGATATTCAGCATAGTATTTTCTGTTTTCAGGATATCATGGCTATGGTTAAAATGAATGTCTTTCATTGGCACATCACAGATGACCAATCGTTTCCCTTTGTCTCAACCATCTATCCAGAACTTTCAGACAAGGTGACTTGATTCAATCAATGTTCAGCCGTTTATTAATTCCGATTCTCGTCTTAATCTGAACAGGGTGCATATCATCCACAAATGTGCACATATGATGAAGAAGACGTATCTGATTTGTTGGAATACGCTCGTCTCCGTGGAGTCCGGATCATTCCAGAGTTTGATACTCCAGGTAAATAAACTTGAGGACATTTAGAACGATGAAGTTAACCAGCAACTGTGTCCACATGAAATGAAATTATGTAAATATTTGAGTTAGAGTGATAGTGTTTTCGAAATATGTCCACAAATTCAGCATAGGTTAATGAATTCGGCAGAGGCACTAGGTGTGAAACTGTAATGCGGAATGTTCATGATATTATATTTTAAGGTATATTAACTCAACGAGTCGATTAAGTGTAATAATGCTGATTCGCCAGACGGTTTCATATTTGACGGAAGCCTTACTCGTTTCCATGTGGAAAAAAGACAGCAGTTCAAATCATTGCGTGTTTACTGTTCCGTTTATACTCTTTGAATCGCTTAACATTACCAATACATTTATATAGCGTTATTAGAAGACGGCGACTATCTGAAAAATGTGATGTATTAGCGCTATACATTTCGAACAATCTGATCACACATTTACTTGCCAAGTCAATATATATAAAAAGGTTAAATTAAACAAAGTGAGAGAAAAAGGAATTAAGAATAATTAACACAAACGTTTGGTAATCCAATCAAATAAGTATTACCAAGGTATGTTAAGAGTAATAACAAACTGTTTTTGAATACACAAGGGGGGCTTAAGTCTCTGAATAGCTATAGCCTCAGCGTATTTCAGTAAACACCCTAGACCGTTTTTATAGATGACCTTAAAGGCTGAGTTAACATCAATCTTATGGTTCATCTCGATTAGATGTTTAGCTATAGACGAAGTTGGTAGTCTGACACCTGCATCTATTGGCTTGTCACAACTCATCTGTTTTTCTAACCATTTTGGGATATGCTCTCCCACCCTCAGGTGCAAAGCGCGATTACTCCTCCCTATGTATGTATGTCCACACACACACGAAAATCGGTAAATTGTGTAGGATGTGATATAATCACTTGTGCACTTTTGGGCTGAACTTATCCGGCATGTTGGTTAAATTTCGCTCGGTAAATTTTTTTGTCTATAATTTTCAATAAAATTTTGGTATATGTTTTCTGAATCGATAGGAATTCGCATTTCCTGGCTAGTTATGTTAGTGTTCGCGTCATGTAATCTTACTGCGATACACTATAAGCGTATGGGTTGTAACGATAATATCATTCAATGAAGGCCACGTCTAAATGTGGTTATTTTCATGTGAAGAACAATACTATTTGGCAAAAGAATGCTATCAATACATGGGAATCACCTACAAATGCCAACAGAACCCCCCGTGGAAACAGAAGTTATGATGTAGATGTGTCTTTCACCGTATGTGTGCATGGAAAGGAATAATGGTAAGTTGAAAGGTTATCTCTAAGTGGATTTAATATATATTTACACTGATTGGCGCAGTATAATAAAGGCTATGTGATTTCAATGTATCAAAGATACCTTTATTAATATTGTGCCATTGTGTGCTTAGCTGCTGCTAGGCTAACAAACGTAGGTGGTTCTCGTGATTGTTGCAAGTGCAGTGCATTTGAGAAGGCAATAACTCGTTTAATTCTCCTCACTGATTCACTTAGTGCAGTTATTCAGTGTATAGTAATAATATACACATGCTTTGTCTTGATAACGAGAATTAAATCTAGTTAGCTCTATTATTATTAATCTATAGACGGTATACCGCCTGACACTGTAAACTTAATACTGCAATGTTTTGATCACCATTAGTGGAGATGGATTTCTTCTGAAATTTCCATTTACCTGAAACAGTACAGATGCAGTATCACGATTGAATGTCTAGGTTGCATTATATTATATATTGTTATCCTCATCAACACAACAGGTCTGCGTATCTTACAATATTTTAAGTGTTTCTCTATGTTGTTAACACTGTGCATAGTTGCTTAGAATTGAGGCATGTTCAGCTTATATTTGATGACTACAGATTCCTAAATATGAGAATGTAATTTCTGTAGGACTCAGAAAACTATGCTCACTAGACATTACTGAGATTGTGGATCTATTTCAAAGCTACACATTTGCAATACCTCATTTAACGTAGATGTATTCAGTATGAAATTGATGAGAGAATGACGTCTCAACATTATGGGTGTTTCAGAGTTTATCTTGAAATTTGCGTGTAATCCTTTAATGCTGGACAACTTATGAGGTCTATTTATGCATACGGCGTCAATATAAAGACCAGCTGTGGACTACAAATACTTTTAATTGTATGAGAACTTTACTTAGTATTAATATAATCAAGTATACTAATATATAAAATTATAAATTCGTGTTTTGCTTCATATTTTAGGTATATGGAGGTTGTGGAATGTGAAATCAGTGAAAATGTCAATCTGTCAAACTAACGCTAATCAAAATTTTCATCTGTAAATTAAGAAAATGTTTAATATACTCATCATTTCTACTTCTTGTGAACTTCTTCAGAGCGTCGCTATACTATGAGCTTTTGTAATACGTGAATTCGGTTTAATGCATGCTAAATCTAGTTAGTCAAATTGAGATTCACTATAGTATCAGACTTACTTTAATCATTCATATGATTTCGCGTCTGTTTCTATACAATAGCACATTGTAAGAACTAAGTAGGATTTAGCAAGTTGAATAATAAGTTTGTAATGTTCGTTACGCTAAAGTCGCTTTATTTTGCCAATTGCAAGTCTGTATACTGCTAAACGTCAAGTATGTAGCACAAGTAAATGTATGAAATTAGGGTTGATATCTACTTCATTAATCAGTTAATATGCAGTGGCACCCTCAAATAGACTGTCTACTTAGCGACGAGCTGAGAAACACTTTTGATTTATTTCTGATATGCCGCTGAATCATGTGATGTCATCCAATATCCAACATTTCTATGATCAACAACTGCAGTATGCCGATGATCTAACTATTTCAGTGTCTGTCAACTCTTCGCTAGACAGTACTAAAATGAACAGCTTTCTATCAGGAATTAGTGAATGGTCTTCTTCTAACGGCCTTAAACTAAATCCTTCCAAATGTCAGGCAGTCAATTTCAGTTTTAGATGTAAAAGAAAGCTAAGTGAAGCTGTTAATTCCCATTACCGTTGTATAACTAATGATAGTGACACAGAAATCAAGTTTGACGTTAGGTATCTTGGATTAATTCTTTCTTATGACCAATCCTGGTCTTCCCATGTCTTAGCGATTTCGAAAGTAATATTTCGTCTGACTGTTCACATTAAGAAGTTAAGGCACTCAAGCATAACTCATCCTGTCCTCTTACAGTTTGTCGGTTCGTGCATCTTACCTATACCTGACCTGTTTTTCTTGCTTTAATCATGATACAACCGTGTTTCGCAGAAGTCATCACACAGCGTATCAGACTTAAATGTATACCACATGCAGGTATAATGCTTATGAGCTAAGTATGCAAATCAAAGTAAACGTTTGTACGGTGCATTCATTATTTATAAGACTAACTAGTATGTAAGAACTACGATTTGACCAGCTATACAATGTTTAATATATTTGGACACAATTAACCTACGCTGCTTACTTCTATGGCGCATTACCTAAAGCTACGTAGTTACCTTAAAGTGGTTTCCGCAGAAGGTAATCACCCTTAGCTACTACCTTACCGAGCAACTTAACGTTATCTTTGAATTTCAAGGTAAAAGCGGACATCCTGGGAACCTTCTTGGTAAAAAAATCGTCTTCCAGTCGAAAAAAATGAATATATCCTAATCTTCACGAAAGCGTTTAGAGGTATTCATCCTATCACCTCAAATGACTCACTATTTGCAGTCACTTAAAAAGTAAGAATAAATTTACCGAAGACGGTATGCTTATGACTTCTAGATATCATAATGTACCATGAGGGAAAACCCATATCCATAGGGTTATAACAGTTACAAGCGCGATACTAATCCGAAACACGACGACTACGATTCTTAATCACAGAAAATCCTACTTTGCTACCTAATCTTCTAATAGTATTAACAGATGTTTCACCAAGAAGAAGAAAACCAATGGTTTCAGGAAA